GCACTGAGCTTAAACCATGCTTGAACGTGGATTATTGACTAAACTGCAACTGGTTAGAGTGAAACAATATACTGAAGATGGAGATCAGGAGAAGAACATTAGGGAAACATGAAGTCCCACTCTTGCTTTAATCGTCTTAATAAGGAGGGGAGGGAAGGAGAGGAGGAGAGAAGAGGAGGGGGGGAGAGGGAGAAGGAGGACTCCCAAAATGAGGTCTTCTGCTGAGACCCCGTTTCCACCAGAATTCCAAAGCTGAGCTATCTTTGCTTTGTTCAAGGCCACGACTTTGGAAAAGTGAACTTACAGCTGTTATGGAGGGCTTCTTTCCATCACCAGCTGGTGGATGAGTCACATCAGCTCCCAGGAATATAACCGGCTGCTGAAAAACGGCGGATCTAGAAGCAACATGAAGCAGGAGTTTTTATACAAAGGATCGATTCTAAGATGACTGAGGGTACAAAGATACGACAGGGAGTTTTTGACTGACAACCATTTCTTTAGTGACCATTCAAATTAACAACAGCATCAAAAAAGACCTATTTATGACTAGTCCTCATAGATTTCACGATCAATTTTACAAAGGACTTGGGAGTTTTCCCCAAGCTCAAAAGACGAAGAGAGAACGTAACTAAAGTAGCGAGTAGGGACAAAGCAAGTGGTCTCCCTTCAACCCCGAGCAATACGTACCGCTGATGGGGCACCAAGATATTGTTAATTCCCCCAAGTTTAACATTGATCTTGAGACAGAGGTTGGAAAGAGTCTGGGGGGAAGTCTTCACCACGTTTTTGACCTGCACACACTGAGTGGCCATGCCCAGAAGAGTGTCCCCTACACGCTTCACCTCCGCTGCAGGGAAAGAACAGAGCATCAGAGATCAGGGGCCGTCACAAAAGGACGGTTCTTGTTTAACTTTTTAATACTACAAGTTTGGCCGAAGCAGCTCCCTTTAGGAAAACCTCAGTTAACACGGTGGAGAATAAAGTCAAAGTCCCGTAAGGAATAGAGAAATCTTGAGATGCTCCAAACTTTTTAATACTACAAGTTGGTTAGATTAATGTAGTGTTTTTCAACCTTGGCAACTTTAAGATGGGTGGACTTCAACTGCCCAGAATTCCACACCCAGAACAGGTAGGTAGTAAATAAAGACTACACTTCTCAAATGCTCTTCCTGACCACCCATTCTGATGACATACCGTACACTGGGGTCTTTCCCGGCAGGATGACGATGATGAGCTGGAGTCCTGAATATGTGTTTTTAAGGTGTCGGAACATGGGCTCCACACTGTCAGCACCTTGGGCATATTTACAGAAGCAAGGCTGGCCCTGGATTGGCATCCCTGCATCCTTAGAAATTTTGCGCAGCTGGTCCGTAAAGTTCCTATCCAAAGAAAACAGGAAGTCGGATCAGAAGAGCGTAGATGAATTTTCCACAACTGATATGCCACCACTCAGGAGGAAACAGTTTGGTTATTGCTATAGAAACGGGTAGGGGTTACTATTTGGTATATTTAAAAAGATTAAAATGTGGGGACTTCAATTCCCAGAATTCCCTAGAAGTCCACACATCTTAACCTTACCAAAGTTGAGAGTGAATGTATTGTATCAATATTCCCATACTTTGTGAATTATTTTCCTTTGGGAAGACAGGAAATAAGCTTGTTTCCAGCAAATCATTCTCTATTGAGCTGAACATGATCTAATGCGAGCAGAGACAGATCCTTATCTGGACAACCTACAGTTTCAACCTGGAAGCTTCTATGCATAAGCAATGTGTAAGATTTTGCATATCATCCATAGGGGATGTGTTGTGGCCCCGATTCCCAAGCCTATGCTGTCAGAGGAAGAGGACCTGGAAGATGAGGAGGAGGAACTGGGAATGCCTTCCTCCCCAGGACCTTCCTCCCTGGTAGTGCCTCAGGTTCCATCAGACAACCGAGAGGAACAGCCTGAGATTAATCAGGAGGAAGGCATATCGGAGCAGCCCCTGATGACAGGGAGTAAAGAGGAAGAGTGTTGGCTCGATCCTAAGCAGCGTCATAGGGAGAAACGTGAGCAGCAACGTAGGAGGTGTGGGAGGGTCAGAGAGTGAGCTGAGTCATTGAGCCACACCCCACAGGGGATAAAAGTGGGAGTGTTTTCTCCTGAAACTTTGTACGGGACAAAGTTTAACCTTACTTCAGATTTTCTTTGTGGACTGCCTTGTGATTTTCTGTGAGTAAAATTTTATTTGCTATCAGTTCGGACTTGGCAGGCAGGACGTGGTGGAATTCCAAGAATACTATCAGTTCCAAAGAATTAACTCTGTGAAGTCCGAGCCAGCTTGCCTGCCTGTGTTTGTGTGTGTGTGTGTGTGTGTACTCTTTCATCTTTTCGGAAAGAGGAAAGGCGAGACTGAACATTTTTGTCCCGTACCTGACTTAAACCATCTTTTACCTAAGATGGACCACCAGCAGCAGTTTCAATAACAGCTGCAAGATGAAAATCAAACTCTACAACAGCAAGTGGCTCAATTAACAGCCCAACTTGCTTTGCTGCAGGCTCATGCAGCTCCTCCTACCCCTCCCCATCGGAAATGCCCGGTGGCTGTGCCAGATAAGTTTTCTGGGCAGCCTGAGATGTTCCCGGCTTTCATGGGACAGTGCCAGTTATTTATGGGTATGAGGCCAGAGGATTTCCCAGATGACCGGGCTCGGGTGGGGTTTGTGATAAGCCTCCTTTCTGGCTCAGCCGCCAGATGGACCATACCTCTGTTGCTCAAGAACAGCCCATTAACTAATTACCAGGGTTTTTAGCAACACATGCGCCACATGTATGAAGTCCCCATACGAGTGCAGACGGCAGCCAGGCGTCTTAAGGACCTTCGTCAAGGGAGGCGCCCCTGCAAGAGTTTATTTCTGAATTTCAACTTTTGTGCCTGGACTCCAACTGGAATGACGCAGCGTTAATGGATGCCTTACAGGATGGCCTGTCAGATGAACTGCAGGACGAGTTAGTTCGAGTGGAAGCGGCCCCGACCCTCGACGCTCTGGTGGTGCAATGCTTGCGCATCGACGCACATCTCCAACGGTGAAAGAACCGTCGCACCGTCCAGGAGCAGCCATCTGCATCTGTACCACAGCGCCCTGTGCTAACAGTGCCCCGGGTCACCCAATGTGTCATGGCAATGGCCCGTACAACTGCCCATTTGTTCTTGCAGCATGTTTTTCGGCTCCATGGTTTGCCAGACAGGGTAGTTTCTGACCGCGGTGTACAATTTACAGCCCAATTTTGGAAAAGCTTGATGACCGCGTTACAGGTGCAGGTGTGCTTGTCATCGGCGCACCATCCAGAGACTGATGGGGGGACGGAGAAGATCATTGGCATTCTTGATCAATACTTGCGTTGTTTTGTAAACCAATGGCAGAACAACTGGGCTGATTATCTCCCTCTGGCGGAGTTTGCATTCAACAACTCCCAGCACACCTCCACCCAAATGACAACATTTTACGCAAATGTGGGGTACCATCCGCGGTTCTTCCCTTTGACACTATCAGATTCCCCTGTTACCGAGACCCGGGAATTCCTTTCGGAACTTCACTCAGTTCAGCAGTTAGTTCGGCAGCAACTGATACAGGCCAAGGAAGATTACAAGTGGTTCGCAGATCGCTCTCGACGGGCAACGCCTCCGCTGGCTGTAGGAGACCGTGTGTGGTTATCCACAAAACATCTTCAGGTCAACCGCCTGATAAAGAAGCTGGACCATCGGTTTATCGGCCCATTTCCCATCGAGGCGGTCATCAACCCCGTAGCCTATCGACTGACTCTACCGCGCTCCATGCGAATTCATCCAGTTTTCCACTGTTCCCTTTTGGTCCCTGACGCCCCTTCGTGTTATCTCCAACGTCCCACAGCTGTTGATCCACCACATGCGCCCGGTGAAGATGGCGCAGTAGAAGGCAAGGTGGCTAGCATTAGGGATTCCTGCTGGCTGAAAGGGCGGTTCCAGTATTTGATCGAGAGGCAGGGGGATGGGCCGGAGGCCCTCTCCTGGGTGAATGCTTCCATGATCCATGCCCCGGACCTTATACAGATGTTCCATGACCATTTCCCCTTGCGACCACATCCTGACTGTCAGACTCGGGGGAAGGGCCCTGCGGTGGGGGATAGTGTTGTGGCCCCGATTCCTGAGCCTATGCTGTCAGAGGAAGAGGACCTGGAAGATGAGGAGTAGGAACTGGGAGGAACTGGGAATGCCTTCCTCTCAAGGAGCTTCCTCCCTGGTAATGCCTCAGGTTCCAGCAGACAACCGAAAGGAACAGCCTGAGATTAATCAGGAGGAAGGCATATCGGACCAGCCCCTGACAGGAAGTAAAGAGGAAGAGTGTTGGCTCAATCCTAAGCAGCGTCGTAGGGAGAAACGTGAGCAGCAACGTAGGAGGTGTGGGAGGGTCAGAGTCATTGAGCCACACCCCACAGGGGATAAAAGTGGGTGTGTTTTCTCCTGAAACTTTGTTCAGGACAAAGTTTAACCTTACTTCAGATTTTCTTTGTGGACTGCCTTGTGATTTTCTGTGAGTAAAATTTTATTTGCTATCAGTTCAGACTTGGCAGGCAGGACGTGGTGGAATGCCAAGAATATTATCAGTTCTAAAGAATTAACTCTGTGAAGTCCGAGCCAGCTTGCCTGCCTGTATTTGTGTGGGTGTGTACTCTTTCATCTTTTCTGAAAGAGGAAAGGCAAGACAGAACAGGGTGTCTTTAAATCTCAAAAAAATGATGAAAATCAGTAAACCTTTAATTTTACAACTGTTTTCGTGTGGAATCTTGGATATCCCGTGTAAGAACCCAGCCATCTTGCCACGTTTGACATTCCAGCCAGCAAGAACTGTAATTCTCCCCCCACCCACCCAAGCTATTACAAAGGAATTATTCCTTGGTGTTCTCGCTGGTTTTTTTGCTGATGTTTCACTACCCCACTAGGTTACATTATTAGCACTGATGATGTTACCTAGTTGGGTAATGAAACGCTTGCAAGAAAAACATCCAAGCTCAGAGAGCACCAGGACCTTTCATTTTAACCCTGAGCTACAAATATTATCTTCTATTGCAACTACTATTTTGTTTAATGCTGGGCACCAGGGCATATTTGAGAGTTAAATTGCTTCCAGATACTCTGTTGTGGCTGACACCCTTGCCCTATTTTTATGCAACCGCAACCTGCCTCTTTTAACCAGCAGTTATCTACCCAGTTTTTCAAAACAGGGTGTGTTCCAGGCCTGGCTTGAGCTGACGAGGTCAACTCCTTCTGCTCCTTCTAGGAGCTCCTTCATTTCTTCCCCCTCCCCACGCACTCCCACTCACTCACTTCAGCACTTCTTCTCTGCACTGCTTCTGAGGGGCAAAGCAGGCGATGGCCCACACTTTGATCTCGATCCCATTGTAGAACTGCTTCCCTCGCATATCCCAGACCCCCTGATTGGGCGTGGCGATGGCGCGGTTCTGTGGGAGGAAAATGCTTTAAAAATAAAAAAAAGAACTGTAGGAGAAGGAGTGGCAGAGCCTGGGGCGGCAACCAAGAGAGGAATCAGGCTGGAGTCATCATGTTGCCACAAGTGATCCAAAGTCCAGCCCCCCCCCCTTGAATTCTGCTGGCTCCTATCTAGCCCCAATTTAGTTGGCTGACTAGATTCTTGTATATAGACTTGAGCAATGAATCTTATCTGTAACTTGTTGTGTGATTCTATTCCTTTCTGGCTGACAAAATCCATAGCTCAAAGATTTTGGCTTGTGGGGAGGGATAGCTGGCCTTCTACGGTTGTGGGCATTCCTTTAGTGAGATTTTCAAAAATGGACTACACAAGCATTTCACTGGGATAGCCTAAGTCTGCCTTATTCTGTCTTGACTAAGCAGACCCAGTAGTGGGCTGCGGCATGGAGCTTGGAGACCCCTGGAATAGAAAACCTCCGAGATCCCTTCCAGTCCTACGATTCTATGATTTGCTAGGGAAGAATTTTTTTTTTAAAAAAAAGATGCTTCTAGAGAAATAGAAGGGACGTGGGGGCTCAGTGGCTAAGACGCTGAGCTTGTCGATCAGAAAGGTCAGCAGTTTGGCAGTTCGAAATCCCTAGCGCCGCGTAATGGAGTGAACTCCCATTACTTGTCCCAGCTTCTGCCAACCTAGCAGTTCGAAAGCATGTAAAAATGCAAGTAGAAAAATAGGGAGCCCTTTGCACCTTCGGCGTTTAGTCATGCTGGCCACATGACCACGGAGACGTCTTCGGACAGCGCTGGCTCTTTGGCTTTGTAATGGAGATGGACACCGACCCACAAAGCCAGAAACGACTAGCGTGTATGTGCGAGGGGAACCTTTACCTTAAGAGAAATAGAAACTTCTTTCCCTTCTGTTAACTTTTCTAAGATCACAGAGGTCTCCAAACTTGGCAACTTTAAGACATGTGGACTTCAACTCCCAGAATTCTCCAGCCAGCTATGCTGGGAGTTGAAGTCCACAAGTCTTAAAGTTGCCAAGTTTGGGGACCCCTGGCTAAGGGTCTCAGAAAGCTACCTGCTACTCCAAGTTTCTGAAGGATGGATTGATATGAGTTAACAAATAAACATCTCAGGCTCCAGGAGTGCTTGTGAATAAAAGCGGCCCAGAGGGTTCCTTACTACTCACCCGGCCTCCATATTGTAAAATCGGGGCTGGCAAGACCCTCCCAGTCACTTCAGTCATGTCATCTTTCACTTTTATGCCAAACTCTTGTATGTATGGGTCCAGGTTATAACTGGCATTTTTCATCTACAAGACAAAGGGAGGTTGAAGTTTTCAAACAAGAAAGTCTTCTCTAGGGCAGTATTTCTCAATTTTGGAACTTTAGGATGGGTGGACTTCAACTCCCACAATTCCCCAGCCAGCCATGTTGGCTGAGGAATTGTGGGGAGTTGAAGTCCACCTATGTTAAAGTTGCCAGGTTTGACTGGTAATAAGTCACTTTTTCAGCAGCATGGTAATTTTGAACAGCAGTTACGTGAATAGTTCTAAAATGCGGACCACATGTACACTGAAGTGTACACAGCTGGTATGTTATTAGCCAGAGCCAAGAATGAAACTCCTGCACTCTCTTCCTTCTGAATTCAGGCATGATATTCCCCTCTGAAAAAAAAATCGGGGCCGGCCAAAAGAGACCCCCCCACCGCGCGCCAAGAAATCGCTGCCCAGCTCCCTTTTCCTGCCGCTCAGCGGCCTCCGCTCGCACCGCCCGCCCGGGCTCCGCTTGCACCGCCCGCCTGCCCGGGCTCCGCTCAGGTATCCGGCTGGGGCTGTCAGGAGTTGCTACTGCCGGCGCGGCTCCGCGCGGCTCCAGTCCCGCGTTGCCTCGGGAAGGGAAAGGCAAAACCAGGAGCCGCTGCTGCCGTTGCAAAGCGCCGCCGCGGCTCTTCCTTTTTGCCTTTCCCTTCCTGAGGCTACGCGGGACTGGAGCTACGCAGAGCCGCGCCAGCGGTAGCAACTCCTGACTCGGGGCCTCCGAGGGGAGGGGAAGGAGGAGGAGAAGGGGGGGAAAGGGGGGGCGATTCCCCAAAAAATCGGAATTCCGATTTTAATCGGAAGAATATCATGTCTGTGAATTACAGCAGCACACAGCTCTGAGCTTCCTACCAACCTCAGGCTAACACAAAAAAGGTGACCTCCCATTCTTGCATGGTTCCGACGAAAGGAAGTGGTACTTACCAAGCGGCTAATTTCTTCTTGCCTGTCAGGAGCAGACCGTGCTGTAGCTTTGATCATGGTAGACGTCTGATTGTCCGTTAGTTTTTTGATGCACCGCTGGCCAGCCACAATGTTACACACCTGGAAAAATGGGTAAGGAGGAGGCAGGTATTTGTTTAAAGCGACCACCTTTCCTTGAACTCAAAAGGGGATGAAAACAATGATGATTTCGGGTTTTGTGTATCGTCCAGACCCTGCTTTGAGGAAAACAAAACTTGTTGGGACAACGCATCACATTAAGAGTTGATTTGCTTAGTTTCACTTTGCTGGACATGCTCCTGTTCCCGAAGCCCACACAGCGAACTCAGCTACAAATTAGGGTTTACAAACCACGAAGATTAGATTCACACAACATGCTGAGCCAAAATCCAACATGTTGCATGATAGCGTAGAGTTAGCTAGTTCCAGAAAGCATCACTCTCCCACACAACCACTTTGACAAGATCATCAGCAGCAATAAAAATACTAATAGAACATTCTGATTTATGTACTCACTTGCATTTTTGTATTACTTCAATTATTATTGTATTTTTATCTCCTGTATTTCATTCATTCTTATTGCTTGTTATAGATCTTATATTTGCATTTCCAAATAGACACGTATGTGTTTTCATATTCACCTTTTAATATATATCACTGCTTAGTGACCATATTGCTGCATAAAGTTATTTGATACTAATAGGGAGCAATCATTATAGACAGAAATCTTGCGAAACTAAAGCAACTACCTGTATCATTAAAGACTTTGAGAACTTCTAAGGAGGAGCTGTCTTGACGTTCTTCCTCCCAATCAAACTATCTAAACTTTGCTATCTCTTGTCTCTGGAGATTCTCAGCCATCCAGGTCATGGTTGTCCCAAAGGTGCTTCTTCAAACAACAACTGGACTTTCTTTGTTTTTCCCTGAAGACATTTTGCTTCTCATCCAAGAAGCTTCTTCAGTTCTGAATCAAAAAAGCTTCTTGCATGAGGAGTGAAACGTCTTCAAGGAAAAATAAAGACAGGCCAGTTTGTCTTTTGAAAAAGCACCTTTGGGACTTGCTTCTCTGGAATGCAGCCCCTGTCAGCCTTCAAGATCTTCCTCCTTTCCTTTGCTTCTTTTTGGCTGTCATGAGTAACGGGGGTGGTGGAAGGGGAAAACGTGAGGGAAGTATGGGACGTGAGCTGAAAGTGTTACTAACTGATATTGTATAAACTGGAGACGGTTTCTAATTCCTGCTTAGCTTTCTCTTCTCTGCACAACTGCAAACCTTTATCTGAGTAAGCCAAGGTCAACTAATCATAACCACCTGGAGATGTCCACATGATGAGGTTCACAACTTTTATTTGGAAGAACCGTTTGAACTATTGGGGGTGGGAACATTTCACTCCCTTGATATATGTGATGTACGTGCCTATTTCCCCAGATTCAGAATTTTCTTGTTGCTACCACTTAACTTCCAGTAAAAGATTCTTTTCTCTAATTACAAGAGCCTAAGTATTTCTTTCTTGGATTTTGAACGGAGCACCAGCTGACATTATTCTGAATCTCTAATTACAAATTAGAGAATCTCTCATTCTCTCTTGGGAATCCAGACTACATTCCACCACATGAAGACAGAAGGGGTCAGAGCAAAGAACAGAGTAATGACTGCATTAGTAGGTTCTGTACGGGGATTACCCTCCATGATCCCTGCACAGAACTACCACCAGCCCAGCCCCAGGGCACATGCTTTTTTTTTACCTCCAGAGGCAAATAGGTGTGTTTTTGCTCTTGGCCGACTTGAAGACAGGGCAGGTGGGGGTACTTCAGCTGCAGGTTGTACTTCTGTTTGAAGTATTGTGCAACGGTGCATTCCACGGTTTGTCCGCTCTCCAGCTGCAAGGGGAACCTGTACAAAGAGAACCAGAGCAACCTTAGAGACCCAATGCCCACAGACGAAAAAAGATTCAGCTTCACTCCTCCAGACAAACCCTCCAGACAAACCCCCCAGGACAGAGGACCCAATCTTTTGCGCACTTCTATGGAGAGGTTTTCCGTGGACCGAAGGGGGCATAGTTTTGCTTGCTGCTTGCATCCCACAGATGGGTCTTTGCTTGTTTGTGCAGGCTGGTTGCTGGCATGCCACAGACTGACACCCGTCCACGGACTGGAGGGTTGGGGAACCCCTGCACCAGGGCATCCAAAGGACAAAACCTGTATTGCATTATCACAACACAAGCTCACCTTACAAAATGGCACGCACGAGTGTAAAAGGCAGAGTTTGTGTTCTTGGTACAGGTAGTCCTCGTTAAGCAACTGCCTCGGATAGTGACCGTCTGCAGTTATGACAGTGATAAAAAAAAACTTTGCCACCGACATCTGCATTTATGACCTTCGCGGATCCATAAAGCAAAGCAAAGCTAAAGGAAGGTTATAAGCACAGTTGTGGTTTCATGTTCACTTTGCTGAACAACTGACCTGCTGGTCCCAACTGTGGTCACTAAACGAGGACTACCTGCCTATGTTTCTTCACTCTACTGCTCCTGCCTTACGTTTGGTGACTAGCTGGACGCCGAGTGACATTACAGACGCGGTATTTCCTCTTCATTTGTCCACAGTGAGTAACTTCCACTTTCAAACCTAGTGAAAGAGAAGATTAAGTTTACAAGGAATTGTAGTTTTGGTTTCATTCAAAGCTGCCTCCTACCTCCATTCTATTTTAGTTATTCCATTTTAGTTCATAAGATTCTCCATTAAAATTACAACCCAGTGAGCATTTAATGAATAGAAGTTGTAAAGTTCTGATTTCAACAATTAAAAACACTTATTCTATTCAGAGATCCATTCTTGCACAACTCTGAAATTACAAGTTTTTTTTTAATCAGAATACTTCACAAAAGAACGATTCCTTAATCATGTTTATATTCAACATATTTTCCTCAGTACCCAATTTAGGCAATTATTATTACATGCACTAAAACTGGAATATGACAGCAAAGTTATCAGAAAGTGGTGGGATTCCATCAGTTGATAGAATTAGATATTAAAAATATTTTCACACTTGCTTATTATACAATCTGTACTCTACAGATTTAAAAAAATGCTTATTCTGGAATTCATGTTGCTGATGAATTATTTCATTATTAACAGGAAATAACTAAGCAATTACCCTCAGAATTTATTTTGGACTGAGAAGGTAAATAGGAATGTGCCGCAAGCTTTCCGAACACCATCGGTCCACAGAATCAAACTGATGATAAGAAAGCCTTGCCGACTTAGAAATAATCTTAATTTTTAATTCAATCCAGAACCAGCACTTCTCATGTCAGTTAAAAAGAAAAAGATGAAATACAAATTGGTGGAGAAAAATAAAAAAAGGTAATCAGGAACATTCCTACATTTCTGGTTGACGTGCGAGTGATGGTGGTGGGCGGAACAGGGAATGACTGTGGCATGAGATAATTCTTTTTCACACATATAATTCTCTACTATCTCCCTCTGTTCGCTTATTTTCACACAGAGGCCTTCCCATTCAAGCAGGTATCCCCATAATCCAATGGTTAGAATGCAGTATTGCAGGCTCACTCTGCCCACAGCTTGGAGTTTTATCCTGATGGAGCTCAAGGTTGACTCAGCTTTCCTTCCTTCTGAGAACATTTCCAGATGTTAGGGGGGCAATATGACATTGTAAACCACCCAGAGGCTGCTATAAAGCACTATGGGGTAGTATATAGTCTACGTCAGGGTTCTTCAAACTCGACAGCTTTAAGACTTGTGGACTTCAACTCCCAGAATTCGTCCTCCAGTCATGTTAGCTCAGGAATTTTGGGAGTTGAAGTTCACAAGTCTTAAATTGCAAGCTTGAAGACTCTTGCTCTAAGTGCTATTGCTAATTTCTTTCCACTGCCAAAATGTTTAAGATTCCACTGCTTAAGTGGGAAGGAAGAAAGGTAGAAGCTTAGAAGAGCTCTATTGCTGTACTATAAATATGCCCATATATGAGGAGGAAGAACCTGGTGTGAATCTTGATGCCTTGCATGGGTTTTCAAGAGTCGCAGAGGGCATCTTTGCCACTCACCCCTTTTTTTGCAAAGAGAAAGCTGTGGTCCCGATCCTGGCTATTCTTTCCAAAGCTCTCGCCATGCTCAGAAGAATCTGAAGCAATTTTGTTCTCTCTTCCTTCTTCTTCCACTACAGATAATCCTTGACATGTTTGTGATGGTAATAAATCCGAATGCTCACATGATCAACCCGACTTTATGACCTCCCCCCACCCCCAGCAGTCATTAAATGAACCCTGTGGTCAGTCAGTGAAACAGTTGCTTGCTATGACATGGTTTTACCAAAAACTGAAAGCAACTTGTGGTTATCGGCAAGGCATCATAAAATGTGGTCCCATGACTGTGGGACACTACAAAGGTCATGCAGCTGTGTTCAGTGGTGGGATACAAATTTTCTTACTGCTGGTTTTGTGGGAGTGGCTTGGGCGTGGCAGGTTACTGCAAAATCCCCATTGTGTCGCAGGTGCCTGAAGTGCCTTCAAGTGACTGTGGGGAGGGAGGAACTGTCACAATTTTAGAACTGGGTCATAATTCCCTTTTTCCAGGTTAAGTCATAACTCTGACTGATAAAGGTAAGTACCAAGGACTATCTGCGTTCAACAGTTCAGGATTTTATACAAGTTCAGGAGAACACCAAGTAGAAATCTCAGCTGGCATGCTGTATCCATCTCAAGATTTTTGTTGGTGAGGGGGCATTCATTATCATCTCCCCACCCACCCCGAAGAGATTAGACTGGCCCCCACTCATTTGGAAGTCGCTGAATGCCAGCGGGCCTGGGGAACCCAGAGCAGGGGGGACCCCATTAAATGGCTGGTATGAATGTGTGTTGTCACCCGGGGGGGGGGGGCAGTGAGGGGGTTGTTTGGTTATTATTTTTCTTTTTATTATTTTGTATTTCTTTTATATGGTTTTTATATCTTTGTAAGCCGCCTGGATGTGGTTCTGACAGCAGGCCTGGGGAACCCAGAGTGGGAGGAAGCCCATGAAGTTAGATTAGTAGGAATGTTTGTTGTCACCGGGATGGATGGTGAGAATTTTTCTTTTTTTGTTCTTTTTCTTTTTCTTACTTTTTATTTCTATAATATGGTGTTTTTATGCCTTTGTAAGCTGCCTAGCGTCACCATGGGCGAGTAGCGTCAATATAAATGATCTAAAATAAATAAATTCAAGTCAATTGCCAGGCAAATCTCTGCTGTCCTCTGTGAAATTCCCCCTGCCTTTATGATTTACCTTTGATTTCCTTTGTGAACCGAACCCTCTGAGAGTCAGTCAGGGGCTTTGGCTGCTCGTCGATGTTCCGGATGTCCAACACTTCACACATGAATTCAATCACTGGCTGGGCCTTGTAGAACGCCGTGGCAGACACTAAAGGTGCACATGAATCACAACAATGTCATGACTTGCAACTGTTTGAACACCCTTGTTCAAACTAACCAGTCCACAGCTACCCTTGCAGGGTATCTACAATTTTATAATTCTTATCCAACATCTTATAAGAATTAATAATTAAGCGCCTTAATTCTTTTGCTCTACCTTTTCAAATTCTTAATACCAACAAGATGCCCTCAATGAAAAGTTCTTCCTCCAGGCTCTGAACATTTTTAATGATTTCTTTTAGTAACAGATGCATAATTTATTCTTCTATAATGTCAATGACTATGGAATCAAAGCCTACTCTCTAACTTCTAGAAGAGTTAATCAACCACGACTTCTAGAACAGGGATCGCCAACCTTTTGGGCCTCAGGACCACCAAACTCATAATTTTAAATCCCAGGGACCACTAACCAGTTCTGTGGGCATGGCCTAATTTGTGGGTGTGGCTTGGTGGTCATATGACCGGGCTGGGCATGGCTTGTATGTAAATATTATAAATATTGATATAAATATTGATTTTTTTTTATAAAAAACGAGCAACTCTTACCCAAAATCAGGCAAAGCAGGCAGGCAGATTGAGTTGCTCACAG